TGTAATGCTTTCTTTCCACTGTGGCTGAATATAGAAACTGATTACCAAGTTCATGAATTTTCCGAAGACCAGTGCAGGCAGTGTTAGCATCTGCTTCCTGACTGTTATTTATAGGTTCTGATTACTATATTTCTAGCAGCACCAGTCCCTTCTTTTAATGACACTTCAGGCTTTAAATAATTCTGCAGCCCTTTATGGATTACAGAAAATTGACAAAAATTCTGACTTCTTGTTCATAGTTTCAGTCTAATTACTTGGTAGTTGACTTTATGGTATTTACTACTAGTAATTGTATTTTTTCCTATTTCTAATAGAAATAAAACTGACAGTTTTTTTAAAATAGAACATAAAAGTTAATGCTTGTCAGATCCAGCTTTTGAGAATTTTCATTATGCAGAATTGTAGTGTTTTTTTATTATGTAAACAAAATATCCTTCTTTCTGTTTATTTTAAAATACCTTGTTCATTTAAAAATATTGTTGTTTTTCTTCTGTGTGATATTATTACTGAACTGAATGATTATGCAATTGTACCTAATTTTTTTTGCATTTTTTTGACTTAGGGAAGAACAGAAATTATAGGAAAAAGTGTGGTCTGTAGTACTCTGTCATAGGAAAGTTATGATCATTGGGAATCAAGACTGGGTGCAGAGAGTTCAAATTATCAGAAGGGGAACAGAATAATACGTATGTAAATTGTGGGTGATGGTGAGCATGAAAAATAAATTGTTTCTCTTCCAAAAGTAATTGTAAAATTGCTCAGGCATTAACTATGCATAGTTAATATTTGTGAAAGAGCTTTAGTCTCAACCACACAGAAGCCACATAACTGGAATCAGACCAAGAAGGAGTTTTTATTTCAAATTGAAGAAAATGAAAGTTTCATGGGCAGAGTGATGCATGTATTCCATTGTTTATGTTCTGGCACTTCTGCAAACTAGCAAGGTATGTTCAAAGATAGGGCAAAGAGGTCCATTTCTGTATTACTTAATTACTAATGCTGATACATCAAATGATAAAGCTACCTGGGCTTGGGAGATAATAGGCTTAAGTTGAAAGCCTGCCATTTACAAATTTCTAAACCAAAGATTCTGTATTAAGTTTGTATGCCAAGATACTGGTGCGAGTCGTATCAGTCTTTTGGTATCTGGAGTCCCTGCTGAGTTCTTGAGGGTTGGAGGTGTTCAGCAGCTAGAAAAAGACAGAGCTGCAAATACCAAAGTAGGAGCTACATTTCTGTGCCTGTAAATGACATCTAAAAATTAAGTAGAATATAAGCAATCTGAGATCAGGCTATATAAAAAAACTGTAATGATGGCATTCGTAATAAGGCACAGTACATATATGAGGGATTACCAATACATTTAGAAAAATTTGATGAAGTTGTTTTCAGTATCTCTTAGATCGTCAAGGCTCAGGAGATTATAATGTGCGGATAATTTTTCATTCTGCATGTGGCCAACTCTGACCTGAAATGTGGTTTATCAATAGATGCCACTGGACTTTAATACTTTGGGAATATAGTAGTAATGTTTTTGTTTTCTCTCTTCACTGGAGTTTTGAGAGCCAGACAAGCAAGCAAGAAATACGGACACTGTGACATTTCACGCTAATACCATCACCTTATTGAGACTTTTGCATGTTCACTATTGATAATACATCACTTCAGTTTTCCTATCAGTTCTAACAGCAACCAAATACAAGAGAGCAATGCTTATATGGATTTTATGTTGTCTTATAAAGAAGACAAATGAATTGTATTGAAGACTGGTTCATTCTCATTTGTTGAGGATCTCCGATTCCTTTGTCTCTGCAAACAGATGGTGCTTTTGTGCTCACTCATTATTTAGTTAGCCAAGATCTTTAAGGTCAGCCTGATGAAATTATTGGAGTTTAAACTTTCTGTAGTTTTGTCATGTACTGAGTTTGTGAATTTCATGGTCTTTGGTCTTTGCACAGAATACCTTGTCCTTTTGTTCCAAATACCAGCTTATGGTATTTAATTTTTCAGGGTAGAGTACTAATCAAAAAGGAGTGGTCTTCAGAGCACCAAAGAAATCAAATGCTAGTGAATTTAGATTGTTCCTGGGCAGTTTTTCAGATTGTGAATGTTCTTGTGCTAAATTTATAGTGTTTCTCCCCTGCCCCCCATTATTGTTGTCTGGAGCCTCATGGGGAGTTTTTTGTTCTTTTTTGTGTGGTAGGGTGGGGTGGGTTGTTTTGGGGTTTTTTTTAGGTGTTTTGTTTGGGGGGTTGGTTTTGGTTTTGTTTTGTTTTGTTTTGTTTTTTTTAAGTGAAGTGACTTTGTTATGTATTTCTGTTCGTCAGGGACTGTAGTGATAGGACAAGGGCAATGGGTTCAAACTTAACCAGGGGAGATTCTTTACTATGACGGTAGTGAGACACTGGCACAGGTTGCCCTGAGAAGCTGTGGCTGCCCCATCCCTGGCAGTGTTCAAGGCCAGGCTGGATGGGGCTTGGAGCAACCTGGTCTAGTGTGAGGCGTCCCTGGCCATGTCAGGGGTTTGGAACTATATGATCTTAAGGTCCTTTCCAACCCAAACCATTCTATGGTTCTATGATTTCTTTAACAACACAAGAAGTGGAGGGGATGTGAATATGTGATAACATTAACTATACCTTTTGCATTCTTTCACATTTTTAAAATCTTGATTTTGCAAAATTTGTTTTCCTCAAAGCAAAATTCCAGATAGTGTTAGCTTCTTGCATTAAGTGTGTTTGTTGTTCTCTCCATGTTACGTAGTTTTGCTTATTGATCAAAAGTACATATACTGCTGTCAGTAAATCTTAAACATAAATGAGACTGGCATGTATTGGTATTGTTTACAGCCACTTCCTTGTACCTGCTCAAAGATTAGTGAATTTCTGTATTCTTCTAACAAATTATTTAAACAGTTCAGCAGTCACAATACACTGTGCATCTTTGAATATGAGTACATTCTCTGTGAGATATATCTTTATGAATATTCAAAGTTGTCTTTTAAGTTTGTTCATAAGGTCAAATGTAGGAGGATGATGCACTTGAAGTGTGCAGTTAAATATGTGAAAGTAAGTTCAGAGATCCTTGTTCTGAAGGAAAAATGGCATGCCGTAGTTTTGATTTGGCTTTTAAGTTGTTTATCAGATGTTTAAAATACTGGTCTGAGACATTCTCTAATAGAGGCAAAATTGAGAAAATAAAATGGTAGAGGATGACTTTTGACAGTCCCTTTCTCAAAATGCTTCACAAGTATGTAACCCTGTTTGTTAAGGCATCCTGGGAAGGCCCTACTGGCTCCAGTGCCCTCCAGGGCTGGGGCATTTGTCCTGCCCTCCTGCTGGAGCCCAGCTGTGTGCACCCAGCCTGTACCCCCGTCCCCACCTCTGGATCAGACTCTGAGGGGAAGCTAAGCAGGCAGAGATGTGTCCTGTGACCTCTCACACATAGGTGTGCACTCTGGGCCCTCCAACTGGTGATGCAGCCCTACAAGCTTGGTGGATCATGGTCACTTCTGTTGCTGACACCCTGACCTCTCTTGTACTCTGATCACTCAGCTGCCTGGCGCCTTGGGTACTCAGTCCCTATGGCCTGTGGTCTCTACTTCTGTCCCAGGCATCTGGACCCTCATGTGCTGCAGCCACTGACACTACAGAAGTGTGAGTTCAGTGACCCATGATCCTGCCCCAGTTGCTGGCGTTTGCTTTTACTTGCTCTGGTCTCAAATTCTAGCATGCAGGCTTATCCTCTGCAACAGTGAGAACTTGCAGCACCCACAAGTGGGAGGGAGTAGAGTTGCACAGAAAGATAGGAGAGGATTTAATAGCACAGAATTAGACCATACTGATCAGGTACAGGGCTCAGCCAGCAAAGTGCATTGAATGGCACCTACTTACGTGTGACTCTGGCCCCTTATCTCTTCCTCCTCTCACTTTTCCCCCTGCCTCGAGCCTGTTCCTCCCCCACCTTTGGCACTTTCCTGAAACTTTGCTTAATGAGTTTGTATAGATCCACAGGCGCCATCAGATATCCGTAATACTCATGTTCTGTCACTTCCCCCTTATCTGTTACAGAGTCCAGGCTGATGCTCTTCAGAGCTGTGTCTGTGGTTTCTTAATGGCCTGTCAATTAATGGCTGAAGAGTTTTGGTCATCTTTATGGTCTCCTGTAGTGCTTACTTAGCAGGTTCATGCCTCTGTGTGGTCTTTTTATGGCTTTCCCTGTTACTTTGTATTCCCTGTGAGCTGAAAAGGTCCTTTACCTGATAGTGTCAATGGACCAGGTGCTCTCACCTTCCACGTGCCCTTATGCTCTCTTTTTAGCTGTATCATCGAGGGCAGTAATGATGAGGCAATTCCAAGTAGCTGCTGTGAAGAGGAAATCAAATTAATGGAGGCATTAGAGAATTCTGCGGTTTTAGATAGGCACAGCATGTGAAGTAAATAATTGATGGGTAAGGTTTAAAGTAGGTTCTATGATGAAGGACATGTTTCAAGCTCTGCAAGGTTAAAAAGTGCCATCAGACTGTCTACAAGTAACTTTTGTTAATTTGAGTAGTGAAGGCTGTCACTTTACTGAGTTAAAGGTAGCACAGATTTAAACTATTAGAAAATTACCTGTTTTCTATATTTCAAGTTTGATTTCTACAGGATTTCTATTTTAATTTCTACGGATATGCAGCAGGGAGAGAGCTTGTTTCAAACCTGCTGTCACAGGGTGGTAGGGAATCTTGATCTGTAGAGTTGTGATCTTAATTTGTAGAGAAGCTTTTTCCATTAAAAAGAATGTCACCTTAAAAAGTATGACTATATTGCAATGCTACCTAAATAGGCTACACCAAAATGATTCTTTTATAAATTTGTCAAGATAGAAATAACTTGTCTCACTGTTTTCTTAGAGGAAATTTTTGTAAGCATAGTATGAATGCTTAAACAAGTGAAATTTTTATATACTTTCACCATAATTTATTTTTGTTTGCTTGGTTGGTTTGTTTTGTTTTTCAGAATCCAGTTGTGTCCAGTTCCAGCTGGTCAGAAATCGATGTGCTGATTCTGGCTGGAACAGTTGGCCATGTTTTGAGTTTGGGGGCAAGCAGTTTTGTAGAAGAGGAACATCAAACCTGGTATTTTCTTATCAATACGCTTTGTTTGGTGCTGTGTCAGGAACTTTGTAGAAACAATTTTCTTCTGAAAGAGTATGACCCTCAACATAGCACCAATGTAAAACAAAACTTCGGGGAAGCCCCTGAGTACAAGAACATAGACATTCCAGCAGCAGATAATTCAAAATTGGGCAAGACCACCTCTTCAGCTGAATTCATTAGAGGATCAAATAAGTGGATAAGCTTAGCAAGTCCATGGATCATCCTTATTTGCTGTCGGCTGCTTCGATCTTTGAATCAGACAGGTGTCCAGTGGGCTCATCAGCCAGACTTTGGACATTGGCTGACAAGGTGAGTATCTGATTTATTGTCATACTTTCTGTCTTACATAAAAATTAATGTATGTTTCATTTAGTAAACTATGTATATATGTTTCTATACAGTCTCTGTTTAGAAAGTACTGCAAACATGCAGGGCAGGTAAATAGTGAAGTAACATAAGGAATTTTTCACTTCTATTTCATGCAGGAGTAATTCCTTCTGCACTATCAATAATAATCTTTGCCCTGCACCATGGCTTATCTAATTAATGCCAATTATACATGATAGATTTATCAGAGGCAAAAAGTAAATATTTTCCATGTGCAAGTCAACAGTGTCTGGGTTGTGAAATTAAAAATCATGTAATGGATTTAAACCCTTGAAATCAAGGCTGAAGGTTTTGCTTAGTTCCAGACTTTATGAAATTGAAGGAGAAGATGTTGCACATAGAATTCTTCCTTGTCTTTCACAGACATATAATGTGTGGGTGGAAAACTGAAGGAGTTTTTCAAAGGTAGTATGATAAACAAGAAAGCATTTTTTAAAACTTCAGGTACGATGGAGAAGGGCTTCTACTTTTTCTACTAGCTTTTAGTATTGTGAAGAACTACAGTCATCACTCAGATATAAGAAGTACTTGATATTTGAGCTGTCTACTTCATCTGGTGGACAGAGAAGCAATACCTTGTGGCTGACTAGTTGGGGTTTTGCAGACAGCAGATGGGAGGGGCTGTGCTGTGTAAGATAAATAGATTTCTTGCTAGAATCTTACAACATGTGGAAGAAATGTCATTTGTCATTCATTAAAAGTGACATGAGCAAATGAACCAATATGACACTTGTTACTTATTGGCAGCCTTACAGATAAAATACTAATTGCTGTGACAGGCATGGGTGCTGGAAGACATGAGTTATGAGGGAATTTATTGAAGTATAGAAGTTCCATACCAAAGCTTTTGCTGTGCATTCCTCCTCTTGAGATGAGGCGAGGGATTGAGGGAGGAATGTTATATTTCCGACATTAAGTCCCAGATGATGGAGAACTCCGTTGTTACGAGCTAAGCCAGTGTGAGAGCAGGATTAGGTGTGATTTGGTGCAACTGGAAGGATTTTTATAATTAATCCCGAGCACCCTCCAAAGTTCTATTTGCCCAATAACTTCCTGTGCCAGATGTCTTCTTCAGAATGTCAGCCCTTTTCTTTGGAGTGTACTAGTGCCACAATGCTGAGAAACTAGGAGTTGATATTCTTTCAGCTGAAAAATTGCATTGTTATAGAGATACACTTTTGCTCTTATGGTCCCCCAGGAATGTTTACTGATACTTGGAAATGTTACCAGCCTTCTAAAATTAGTGTGTGTATGCCTGGACTTAACTTATAAGAACCCGTCCTGGTTAAGTGTGCTTCCACCTCTGATTTCCTGGTGCTAGGAATGCCTATAGAGCAGCAAAACCTGTTACAGCCTTGGGCTGTGGGGACTCAGGGAGACAGCATGGGTAAAACGTAGTCTATAGCTAAAGCAAGTGCTTCTAGGGCTTCCTGATTTTATAACAAGGACTGGGAAATTCTCTGTGCCTGGCTCTAACACTATTGCTTCTCAGGAGCTTCCAAGCAATGCGCTCAGCTAACACAAAGCTCCTAACACCTGCTCTGGCTTAGTCTTTTTGTTGTTATTGGGGAGGGACGGGGGGAAGGGAAGGAGGAGGCTATTTTTGCGTATCTTTCTTCTTTTCCTGTGAATTGGTATGTTTTACAGAATTCCTATCCATATTTGAAAACCACAGAATCACAGGATGGCTGAGGTTGGAGGGGATATCTGGAGATTGTTTGGTTCAGTCCCCCTGCTCAGAGCGGAGTGATCTTGGACAGATTGTTCAGATCTGTGTCCAGCTGGGTCTTTGATGTCTCCAAGCATGGAAACTCTACAGCTATTCTGGGCAACCTCTTTTCTTTTTAAGTCCAAAATTTTCCTTCTGTTTAAACAGAATCTCCTTTATTTCAGTTTGTGTCCATTGCCTCCCTCATATCCTTTTGCTGGGTACCACTAAGAAGAATATGGCTTCATCTTTTCTTAACACCCTCCACCTCCAATGAGGCTGGTAAGGTCCATACTGAGCCTTCTTCTCTTGAAGCTAAATGGTGCCAGTGCTTTGAGCTTCTCCTTGTATGACAGATGTTCTAATCCCATCATCATAATTTTCACAGTCCTTCACAGCACTTGCTCGGATATGTCCATATGGAAGGACCTCTTGCCTTACAAGGCAAAGTACCTGCTGTCTTGCTTCTCCCCTCACTGGCCCTATATTTTACCAGTATGGCTATTGCTTTGCCAGTATGTGAAATAAATTATCGAATAGATGTGGCTGGAAAAATAACACAGGATGGTGTGGGGGACTCTTGGCTTTCACATGGACCACTTCCCACTCTGATTTACCATCCAGCTTCACAGGTAAATGGACTGGCTTAGTAATAGAAGTGCAGGGAGGGAAGAGTGCGCAAGCCAGCACTGCTGGTTTTGAAATTCCTG